CCTGATCGACATGCAGTCGGGCCAAGTGAGAACGAGGGGCAAACTCCTCCATGATGTTCTCCTAGAATTCCCACGCCATCAGCTTCTCTCAACATTCTTCTACCGCACGTTGGCCCACAGACGAATGCCACTACTTCTTCCCTATTTTGAGAAGAATGCTTCACTGTCACAAATGTCGAGATATACTCGTACATGAGCGGAGTAAATAGCCGAAGCATTCGCCTTCCGTGCTGCAATGGCAATCAGAAAGCACTTCGCTCCCGCCAAATTTACATGCACCAACGGAGCGGTCATACAATGACGAATCACCTATCATAATATGATAACCATATCTTCATTTAGTTGGAGCCTCTCACCCAAGACTGTTAAGCTCTTGTAATTCTTCATGCTGTTATACCTACCGAAAACGGAATCCCGTAAAAAAAGAGTTGGAGAACTCACAAGTCATTTGATATAGCCAACGACGGATCAGCTTCATCATAAGCACAGCTACCGATGAACAGAGCAGCAATGAGGGTTAGGGAGTGGAGCATAAGAACGGTCAGCTTACTTTATTCGACTAATGAATATTCTATAATAAGCTCCTTCTACGCTACAACGAAATCGATCGCGTCATGAGTGCGGGCCACGTCCGACGTGGCACGTCGGGCCATTTGTGCGCCATCTTGGCACGCCAAATACGATGACTGAAAGATATAGTCGTCTTCCCTAGATGAGCCAGCAGAAAAGATGATGATATAAGGTGAGAGTATAAGGCACAGAGGTTATAGCTCGCCAAACACACCATTTATTGTCGTAGACTAGGTATTCGTTGAGATAGCATCATGAGACAACGATGCAGACAACACACGTGAAAGAGTGCGCCGAGGCTAGAAAGTAGGACATTTAGGGCTCGAACTCGCAGGATTGCGGATGGGTAATGGGAAGGCAACAATACGTAACCACCGAAAATTGTAATGGGGGGTACAACCCGATGAACAGAGAGTCTTGCTCGGCATTGGCGGAGTAGGATTGAGCTATCAGCCTCACAGGGTGCTCACACCCTGGGTCCGCAAGAGTTCTGCACGCACGTGCAGTTGGACGTGTTAATTTGCTATGCGATCGCTGGAAGAGCAATTTGTGCCCTGAGCTCTCCAACGAACCCAAGGGAAGAGGAGTCTTCATTAGTTGGTCGGGAGGGAATGTGGACAACGAGATGCGCTATCTCATCTTCCACTCTTGTGAGTGTCAGAAGTAACTCTCCACCGAAGCTAATTCAGACACAGAAAAACGTATTATGTATGCGTTCAACTGTGTGAATCGGTCGTGGTGATGGTACCTCCACGTCCCTTGGGGTGGCATAGCTGCCCCAGGTGGAGAAGTTGGCTGCATTATGGCATACCTTGGGGAGGTCAAGCTGCCCCAGAGAGAGCAATAGACTCTATTAGGGCATACCTTGGGGTGGCATAGCTGCCCCAGATAGAGAAATCGGCTGCATTATGGCATACCTTGGAGTGGCATAGCCGCCCCAGATGGAGAAATCGGCTGCATTATGGCTTATCTCGAGGTGCCATAGCTGCCCCAGAGGGAGCAATAGACTCCATTAGGGCATACCTTGGGGTGGCATAGCTGCCCCAGATGGAGAAATCGGCTTGTTATGGGATTCTGCGCACATCAATGTGCTTGCGTGCTTCCTGAGATCTATAGCTAATGATGTTGGTGGTTCGCCCAGGAAGGCACGTTACCCTTCCCTCTCCTCTTGAGTCACTCCCCTAAGTCTCCGTAGCTCAGCTACCTCTACAAGCTCATCACTCCTTGTGTTATCCAGTCCGTGGGCTCTACTATCACGTCACACACTTCCGCTACATCTACTCGAACCCGTTACAGTTTGGGGGCTGAGCCGAGAACTAAGCTAAGCTACCTATGGAGACTCTAACGGAAAAAATGACTCAACTGACTAACGTAGTCGCTCTGCTTGCACAGGAGAGAAGTAGTAGTGCCAGCTCTATCTCTAATATGGCTACACAACATTCGGCATCATTCGGTTTGCGATTGCCCAACATTGTCCTCCCGGTCTTCCACTCTACGGACGACTTGGATGACTTTCTTACTCAACTACGATCGTTGCTGGAAACAACAGGCACTCCTCCCAAGCATTGGATTGCACTCCTCAAACAGCAAGTGATTAGTGATCGCCGGTCTTTTGATTTGGTACGCCTTGCTGAAGCTCAGTACCGTTCAGACCTGCTTGCTGCTGAGGACGATAAGCAGTTCTTGACCTACTATATCAAGGTTCAAGATTATCTTGCTTCGAAAAGGGGCAAACCTAAGGAGGAGAAGGCCCTTGAGTTGTTGACTCGTTTCAACGGCATGGCCCAGAAGGAATCTGAGACGGTAGAAGAATTCTCAGTCCGTTTTCTTGATCTGCACCATGACCTGCAGAAGCTTATCCCTGGTATCTTCATAGTGACATCTGAGGTTGATGGAGTGAAGAAGTCTGACGACATTCAGCTCCAGTTACAGTTCACTGTGAAGCTCCGTGAAGATATAAAAAAGGAGCTGATTGCCCGCCAAGCCCGCTACAATTCGATCCAGCTATTGATCGAAGCAGCACGCCGATACGAGCATTTTCACCCACCTCAAAAAGGAACTCCCTCTGATGTTGTGTCGGAACAAGTCCCAAATACGGTGTGGTGTTCGGCTGTGCAATGTTATAACTGTGGTGAGTATGGTCACTTCGCTCGAGATTGTATGAATAACCCACAAGCATCCCACAGGACGGCTGGGGTGAATATGCCGGCTTTAACGCCCAGGTGGCCGTTAGGGAAAGGCAAGGGTTATCAGTCTGGAGTTCAGTTGACACCTGCGAGTGGCCTTAGTGGCTCGCAGAACTTCAACGGCTCTAGACCTACACCACAGTTCGGGAACCGGTTCTACGGACGGGACCAATGGTGGTCTAGAAGGCGAATGAGAGCTGCGGGTGTAGTAATGGTCGCTGAGCCCTGAGGCGCAATCCTTATGTGGATACACCCCCCATTCAACGAGAAAGCTCACGATCGACGTTCCTAAGGAGGTGCCGATAGGAGATACGAAGGCTATCAAGGGCTTCTCACTACCATACAGGATCTGTGAGGCACTAGAGCCAAGCCCGATGACTCTTTCTATCAGTTCACATGCTGTCAGTTGCCTGAGAGCGGGAACAGAGAACTCGTCGAGGCCGATAGAGTGGGAAGTAGAGACAGGGGTCTCTTTGATCAGCAAGCCGAGGGCGGCTCTAACTGGGTTCTCAGTTAACGAAGTACCAGAGGGACTCGGAGGATATCCACCGGAGAGGTTGTTATGCAAAGGGCTATCCAGCTCTTCTTTCCCTTGAGGCCCTGGGCCATGCAGGGGTTCGTCGTCAAGTTCAAACTCAGAACTATCCGGGGGAGCCGCGAATTGAGTCACGGGGGACTCAGTGTGGCTAAGACTCTGAAGGTCGAGGCCTTCATAGCCACCATCGGGGTTAGAATCGTTGTGATTCTCGGATGATGCACCATTTGTAGTAATGGTCGCAGCTCCTTCCCGTTAATTGACGACTGAGTACTAGACATAGGGTTGAAGTGGAAGTAGTAGTTAGTAGAAGATTAGTGAGTTAAGGTTGAGAGAAGTTAAAGAGACAGAGCGACACAATAGCGGAAATCGATCGTCCAATCCCTTCATTCATGAAGTTCATGAGGGATTTCCTCATAAGGGGACAGCGATTGTGTTACTATCCACGTATCAACGTGGGGTGTCGGAGGAGATGGGACAGTTGTGTTACCGAGCGGGAGTTTCGCTACACGGGCAAAGCTAAGGGATCCGCTAAAGGCAAAGGCTTCTCTAATCATCAAGGCATTGGTCGTCACGGAAAAGGAGAACGATCGACCAGAAGGCGATATCGAGTGAACTGCCTTGATACTCAGTATCAAAGTTCCGCAGATGAGCGTGACCCAGGACCCCCATTAAGAGAGTGTGAGAGAGGAGATGTGGAGGAGGGAGCCGAGAATAAATCTCGTCGATTGAATAGTCGAGAAGCCTAGCAACTACCAGGGGATAATGATGAGTTCCTGGCTATGCCTTTGTTCGTATCTGTGGGAGACAAGCATGATTTCTACGATAAAGATGCTCAGAGGAGGCACATCTTGACTGCTTTCATTCAGCCCCGATCTGACTTACCTCCCACCAAGACTCTTATTGTCAATAAGTTATTGATACTTGCTGCAGCGTCAGCTTGGTGAGCGAAGATTATGCTACTACACTCCAACGTCATGGATTCCCTTGTCACTGTATCAACACTCCTGTAGAGGTTGGTATGGTTGCCGAAGGTGTTTCCTCCACCTCTTCATGGCTACAAGAAGTACCTCTTATCTTCAATGGCGTAGATTCTCAATGTGTGAGAATTGAATGCCCTATTATCCAGAATTTACAATGGCCTCTCATACTCGATATAAACCATCTCACTCTACTACACGCTAGTATAGATTGCCATACCCGAGTGGTTAAAGTCGAACATGGAAGCTCAGCTTCCGAAGCTGGCGGTGCACATTTACCTGTAAAACATTTGGTGGTGGAGAGAAGAGTGCTCTGGTGATGAGTACCTATGATGTAATCAGAGCAGCGTCCACACAAACAATCTCCCCCGGCGTGAGCGAGATCAAAGCATGTTTCGTTCATAATGCATTGAAGTTACCTCAACATCCTTGGCTTGTTGGAGCCAACTCCGAGACTGATGTATTCTCACTCGTTGAGGGCCCCACAGATCGCAATGCTCTACCTACAACTTCGTCGACACCATTTACTGTATTTGTTGCTAATGCCTCATCCTCCACGGTGAGTGTCTCGCCTTTGGAGCCTCTAGGTCGTGTGATTAATCGTGATCCTGAAGAACTTGCAGGCGTTTTTAAGCATGAATTGAACGAGGAGAGACGGCTTCTGAACGAAGCTCGTGAACGTGCCTTCGAAAATGATGCCAACCGTGATCTACCGCCTTTGGGTGATGAGACTGTTGACAAGAAACTGCCTAGGTCTGATGAAGTATATGCCGAAGAAGTGTTGAGAGAGATCCGTCTGGATGAACCACTAATTTGAGTGTCGTTCAGAAGAAGGACTTGGAAACGGTTATCACCAAATGGTGTCGAGTCTTTCATCTACCAGGAGAGAAGTTCGAGGAGATTCGAGGGTATAAACATCATATCAACACCGGTGACCATGAGCCGCTATACTGCACACCCTATCCCCTCCCGGAAAGCCAAGAACGCTTCGTCAAGAGTGAGATTGACCGCATGATCACTGAGGGCATCTGTCGTCCCAGTGAGAGTGCATGGTCGTCACCGGTTTTGGTGGTTGCGAAAAAAGACGAGCATGGTCAGAAAGTGAGACCTCGCCTCGTCATCGACTATAGGCGTCTCAACAGCATCACTCGTTTCGATGCCTACCCCTTACCACAGATAGAGATCCTTTTGTCGAGGCTAAATAAGAAGCGCTTCTATAGCAAGCTCGATATGTATTCCGGCTTCTGGCATGTGGGTATGGTTTGTGATAGCATCGGTAAGACAGCGTTCACTACTCCGTATGGTATCTTCGAATATCTAAGACTCCCTTTCGGCCTCGTCGGAGCCCCAGCAACTTTTATGCGTACCGTGAACAGTGTCTTTGCCGATCTCTTATGTGCAAATGCGCCCAACAACTTCCTTTGTGCTTACATGGACGACCTATTGATTTCATCGTCTACCTGGCAACAACACGTTCACCATCTCTCTCGCGTCTTCGAACGATGTGCTCAACGAGGGGTTAAACTGAAGCCATCGAAATGTTATTTCGGCTATAATCATATTACCTATCTCGGCTATGTAGTTTCTGAGAAAGCCATAACAGCAGACCCGTCGAAGACAGCTGAGAATCGGGCGATTTCACGACCATCATGCCGAAAGGATTTACAACACTTCTTGGGCCTCAGTGGATATTACCGAGCTCACATATGTGATTATGCACAACGAAGCTCACGACTACGACAACTACTCCGCGCTGATGTGTTATGGCATTGGGGTCCAAAAGAAGAGGATGAGTTTAACGATCTCAAAGATGCTCTTTCCAATACATTGTTGGTGCATCCAGACTTCTCGAAGCCATTCGTCCTTCAAGCTGATGGCTCATCTCGTGGTCTAGGAGCTGCTCTATCACAGCTCGATGATAATGGAGTTGAGAGACCTGTAAGGTTCGCGAGTCGTGCTCTAACGAGCGCAGAAGCGAAATGGAGTACAGAAGAACATGAACTCCTAGCTATTGTCTGGGCGGTTGAGAAGTGGCATCAGTACCTCTATGGTCGTCATTTCCTCATTGCCACTGATCACAATAATCTTCGCTGGTTGTTAAATTTGTCTCCACGGAAGCCTCGGCTCTGTCGGTGGATCTTGAGGTTGTGCGAGTACGACTTTGATGTTACACACCGTAAAGGTCGTCTACAAGCCAACGTCGATTATTTCAGCCGACACCCAACTAGCTTGTCTCACCCATCTAAGTTCATTGGTCGAACTCTCGAGGATACTCCTCCATCTGCAAAAAGGAGGAAGGTTTCTGCCTTTGTTTCGGCCTCATGTGATGCTAGTGTACGCTCTGCAATCTCTACTGCAGCACTCCGGTCTAACTTATGTGCAGTTGTGACCCATCAAGAAGCACCACCACTCCATTTACCGAGTCGTCAAGCTATAATCCGATTATAATAATCGACTCGCAGCGCCACGACCCAGTCCTGAGCTCGATCATCCAAGAGCATCCACACTCAAATCGTGATGATTATTACAAGCTCGATCCTTCCGATGACGCTCTATTAATGTGTGTACCATATGAGGGCTCTTGGGACCTACCAGAAGATGTCGAGAAACTTGTCATACCTGTTGAGCATCAGTTAACTTTCCCACGGTATTTTCACGTTCAACCGGACAGTGCCCATCGTGGTCGTGAAGCTACTCTAGTAATGTTACTGTTGAGCGAACTTCCCCTCTGAGACCTAAATTTAATGGGCAGTGCAAGCGAGGGCATAGGTTCCCACTTGATGCTTCGTCAATCATCTGTAGTGGTAGAGAGAATCGTTGGCCTCAGTATCTACAAGCCGTTACATATGCCCACAACAATAACCCCGGTATCGGTCGACTACACTCACCCTATTATATCATTCACGGTGGGCGCAATCCACAGGCGCTACTAGACTTGTTGTTGAACCAATCAACTATAGATGACGTTACCGATCTTGAAGTTGATGCGAGCGAGGCGATCGAGATGGTTGAGTCGATGAAAACTGCGCACGCCTGTGTTCGCCTAGCCCTCATAGATAGTCGGCTGAGAGCCAAAGAACGATACGATCAAGATCGAACTGCGCCAGATTATGCCGCGGGTGCCTATGTTGGAGTGAGGACCTCTCCCCGTGCGAGCAAACTATCCCTTCGTTGGCGTGGACCGTACGCGATAGACAGTATAAGTGGCAATACGGTGCTGTTAAAAGCTCTACCTAGCGGACCGCCAGTTCCGACCCCTACTCGTATTAATGTGGATAAGTTGGTACACCGCGATTACCCGGCATCCTTTCATCGAGATGTGAGCGGTGAGTCTCCTTCATCCGTCATTGAGAACCTCGACGAGCCGTGTGGTCGCTCCCATTCTGAGATTGGATCCACCTCTCGTCAATCCGTATCACCGGATCTCAGACGCCCAGCCTCTATTGATGAGAAGCTTCCATAAGTGAACAGACCTGCTTCGACAGCTCCGTCGATCCTTGCTGATAGTCCACGAGAAGATCAGCCTTCGGTGTCCGTACCTGTAGATCATTCCAGAAAATTCGTCTTGGTCGATAGAAGCTCGGAGGAAGGATTTGTTATGCTACCTACGACGGATGATGATAGACGATGATTACAGTTCTTTATGAAGCCTGCGATGATCCGCGGGGACTAAACCCTAGACGGGCTGTAGAGCTGATCATGAATTGCCCGGGTTACCGAAGAGGCTATCTCAAACGTCTCTCTGATCACACTATCTCTTTACATCAAGATCGGTTTGGCTGGCTTCATCGCCTCGAAGACCATCTCTACTTCATAGAAGACGCGCCTGGTGAAAGATATGTTGTCGGAGAAGTCCTCCGTGAAACAAAACGATCGCCTGAAGGCCGAGATCTACTAGTCCAATATTACAAAATGCTGCAACCTAAGGGCGATATTCTCGAGATAGACTCTCACATGAATCCGGTTTGGCACTCTCAAAGTGACGTCATATTTGTTCTGATGGTGAATGAGAGGACTCCTACAGTTAATCCCGGCGATGTGAACGTCCCTGACAGATACAGAGTTCAGCTGAGCAGAGACTCGTTTCTCAAGCTCCTTCCCTACAACTTCGATATTGTTAACTGGTCTACTTCTACCTCTTCTCGCCAAATACTGGATGATGATTTCTAGACAAGATTCTGAATCGCTCACGATTCATGAGCTGACCTTATATACTTCCTGAGAATTTCCACAACAAGATTTGCCCTCAGATAGCAGCAACAAAAAAGCAGTCGAGTTCGTAGAGAGCCTCATAAAGATTTTTCTTTCTTCTTCTTGACTTTTGACT